ATTAAGAACTTTCGTACACGTGGGCCTAAGTGTTGGCCAAGGACGTCCATCTAGAAAGGACTGCCCAAATTGGTTTATGTAACTAAAATGTAATTTGATATTATCTTTTGACAATCTCCGTGGCCGTATGGTTTGTACGCCGGGTTTCAAGGTTTCGCCGACTCGAGAGGTCCCGGGTTCGAATCCCAGTGGGGGCAGATGTTTGTGTGATGAATACGAGCATTTGTACTCCGGTCATGGGTGTTTAATATGTATTTCTATATACAATATACTTATATATGTACTGTATATGTATTCTATCCATTACCCTAGTATCCCATATAACAAGCCTTACAGTGCTTACTTTGGGGCTAGGCTAGGTGTGAGTGTTGGAAATATTTATTTATATTTATTATATTTATCTCTCCATGAATTTGAATCAAATTTCCATAATGTCACCTTAACGAAGCTACGTGCATAACGTTTGAAGCATGAATTGTTTATCAAAAGAAATGTATACATATATTAAGAGTAATGGAATTTTATTAGAATAACTTTATTTTTTCAATCTCTTAGGATCGTGTTCTCAAGTAAAAGAATTTTATAAGTATAACATTATATATTGTATTACTTAGGCTCGTATTACATATATATATATATATATGTCATAATGTCACCTTAACGAAGCTACGTGTATAACGTTTGAAGCATGAATTGTTTATCAAAAGAAATGTATACATATATTAAGAGTAATGGAATTTTATTAGAATAACTTTATTTTTTCAATCTCTTAGGATCGTGCTCTCAAGTAAAAGAATTTTATAAGTATAACATTATATATTGTATTACTTACTTAGTTATACTTATAAAATTCTTTTACTTGAGAACACGATCCTAAGAGATTGAAAAAATAAAGTTATTCTAATAAAATTCCATTACTCTTAATATATGTATACATTTCTTTTGATAACAATTCATGCTTCAAACGTTATGCACGTAGCTTCGTTAAGGTGACATTATGACATTATGACATAAATATATATCTTTATATATATAATTCTTCTGTGAGTGTGTATGTCACTGAACTTCTCTTAAACGACTGGACCGATTTTGATGAAATTTTTTGTGTGTGTTCAGGGGGATCTGAGAATGGTTTAGATTCACAATTTTGTCCGCTGGACAACCCCTATTTTTTTAGGGCGGTACGAAGTTCGCTGGGTCAGTTAGTATATATATATATATATAATATAATTTCAGCTGTATCAATGAACTGAATTCAAAGTTTAAGATACTCATTCGACGCAGAATTTAATAATAAACAATAGGATATTTCACACCGGACGTACAGGTTTCGTGCTACAAGTATAAAACCTAAGAGCAAAAATCGTCGATGCGGTTATTTGGCTCCCTAAACTTATGCTCACCCTGCTGGGATTAAATGCATTTAGGACCAAATGAAACACATTTAAAACTAATAATAAATCTAGAACAAAAAAATTAAACGATTTCAAGCTTACTCAAACTTAATTCTACAAAAACTTCAAATTTGCTTAGCCTAAACACACCATCACGTTACACTAAACGGTTTTGATGGAAACCATCCATATTTCTCTTGTGCCGGAGGTTTTCTGTCAAGATTACCAAGATTAATGGAGTCCACTAGATATTTGTCTTGTCCAATAGTTCCGGCCGGTTAGCAATGGATAGATGTTTGAACTCGGGATATCGCTGTAGATTTACTCAATTCAAAGCCGCTCTAATTTTGATGTTTGCAGTGAACGTTTACTTGGCAATAGAGACAGCTTATTGATTTAATAGTTGAAGGAATGCTATTTACAATGTTGTTGGATGCCTTACTGGAGGTATTTTAAAATATTGTTTTTTTTTATAAGTTAAATGGGTGACGCGGCGTATGGCCCGCCTGATTGTAAACGGCTACCATAGCCAGTAGGCGTTTGCGACACCAAAAATATTACTCGCACCATTGCCTACCCTGATCCAAACCCTACCCCATGCAGCCATTTTTTTATACGTAGGCAAAAAATACTATTTACAGACGACGGCGCCTTTAAGAGGCACACCGCCGAACGGACCTCACACCTGGCAAGCCTCCACAGTGGCTGCCCACTGAGGACCCTGTAACTCTAACGGGCGCTTTACGGCAAAATATCCGCTAAAAACCCTGCGAACACCCTCTAAGCTGCTTAGCGCGAAGCCGCGGGATCCCCGTTTAGGGATTCTTCCGCGTCTACCTCATGCAGCCCTGGATCTTTACTCACCGACAGAAACACAACACCACCAGAAAGTGTTATTTTACTGTGATCTTCTATACTATAAGATGGACGATTTCCCAGACGGGCGCTTGAATTCTTACGGGAAATCCGCTATGCCATACCTTTCTTATTACGTTTTGTAAGTTTCTTAATTTCCAACAATAAATCAATTTTTTAATAATCATATAGCTCACCACATGAAATTAAATTATTTAATGGGTTAGCGTTATCGTTCAATAAAATAAAATTTATGCTCCTTGACTAGGGCCCCTAGATAAAATATACCTGCATTACACGAGAAATGGGACTTATTTAGTTTTAGGCTTCATTTAGATCGAAAATATAAATCTTACAAGATGAAATTAGAAATTTCAAGCTCTGGAATCTCGGCGCAAATACAACCAGTTAATTAACCTATATAAATGCTTTCATTTGTTTCTTGACTTTTCATTTCTTACTTTATTGCTTATTCATTAGGCAATAGTGAGTGCACGCGACTTCGAATGCATAGAAAAATTGGTGTCCCATACAAACTTCAAACCCTTTTTCAACCCCATAAAGGACGAAACTATCCCAGGAAAATCCGACAGAAACAGTGAAATATTTCAGTATCTTCCTAAATAATAATAGTCTTATCAAAGTGATAAATGAAAGGTCTCTTTATATTATTTTGGAGAGATTGAAATGCAAACTTTGTTTCTTTTACCTTTAATTACTTTGGAAGTATTTTATTTACTTCATGAACACTAATTACTTTTTAGGCGCTGTCAAAATATTTTTACATTATAAACGCAATCTTTTTATCACTTTTTCTTAATTTTATTACGCATACGCAATTTTTTTTTAAATTCTTCTATTTACAATTACTTTGTCTTAAATTTTATTCGAACACAGCAGAGAGCAGATAATCTTGTAATATTAATATGCCTAAACAGTAGGACACGGCATTCCTAAACAGGCCAAAACTTAAACTTTGTTCCTTAAAATCAGTTTATTATATTTTCTTATTGTATAGTCGTATTTTTTATATCATTTACATTAGTAATGAAAAGTGGCTTCATGAGTTATCTCATATTGAAGTCATTTTTCAATTTGACGACTCTGTATAAAATACAGGGAGAAAAAACAGCCCTTGCTGAGTTTCTTGTTGGTTCTTCTCAGTACAAGGTCTCCCGCCGTAGATTTACGAACCGATTGCGTAGCTTTTCGACATTCACAAGTGCTTGTAATAGCCTAGACTGAATAAACGATATTGATTTTTTTAAATGTAAATATGACTGACATAATAAATTAAAGTAATTAAAACAATTAAAATGTTTACACTATCATCAATTTTAAATGTACACCCAGTTACGAGCTACGTTGAATTTCTAGACATCATAACGAGGACGTTACTTGAATAACCAAGAGGCACTGTTTACGCTTCCGTCCGTTGAGAAGTGGTCGGTCGCCTGTAGTGGCAAACTAATTTAATTACAGCCGGATAAATTGCCGTACGGTTTTAGCTGATGAATTTCAGCCTTTGCTCGCTCAAAACTCGTGAATCGAGGTTAACACCTTTAATATGAAAGCTTTTCATAGCACAGCGCTACCGCCCGTTTTACTAAATTATTTGTTTCACTAAAATGATAGACAAGCCGCGTTGTTTCATCTTACATTTGACACATTGACTACTTATTGAAGTTATACTTCTTTAGCCGCGTTATGAAAAAATTATGAGAGTGAAATTTTAAGATGCGCGCGCATCACTGTAACACAAAAGTAACATAATGAAGTTAGCCGCGGGCGCGTTATGAAAAAATGATGAGAGTGAAATTTTAAGATGCGCGCACATCACTGTAACACAATAGTAACACCATGAAGTTGGCCGCGGGCGCGTTATGAATGTTAGTGTCTAATAATGGTGGATTATTAACCACTTAGTGGTTAATAATCCACCATTATTAGAGATCTGTTCGAAAGGTACTTTGAACGGTCCACGGAGCTCCATAAGATGATCGCGTTGTCAAAAACAATGTTGGCACGCTCGTCGCCTCTGATCACTGTTTTCATATTTATAATATTTATCCACATGTTTCTAGTTTCTATATAGACACAACGTGTTTTAGTTACTTACAAGTGCTAATTACATATGGACTAATAACTTAAATTCAGTAGTGATTTTAATTGAATATTTTGAATATTTATTTATTTTTTCAAATTAAAACTGAACTTAATTGACTGTGTTAACTATCCTTTTCCAGTCCTTTTATTATTTTATTGTAATTATTAAAAATATTTTTAATGATGCTAAAGAAGTATAACTTCTCGTAGAAGTACATAAGTTACACGCATCCATTTTTTTTAAAGTGATATTATCTATAGTCAAATTTAACATCTATGAAAATGAATTGGTTATTTTTTCTCAATATTTTAATTATAGTCTAATGTAACTGTTTTAAACAACGCGGCCTAATTTATTGTTACCTTATTCATTAATTAAGAAGATAATATGATAAGCCTTAAGCCCCCATTAAATGCCTTATAGAATTAATTAATAATATTCCAAATTTGATCCAGTAAACTGTTATGTCAATATAATCAAATATCTTGAGATGGAATTATCTCGTATAATCAACAATCGATCTGTTTACGAATAACTAGGATGGATATCCATCATAATGAAACTTGTTAGTTGCGTCAAACGCACAGCTTTTCGTCGATCATTGTTTAGGCAGCCTCTGATTAATGTCCGTTTTGTTGTTTCAGGCACTCGGCCGATGTAAACACAAAGCCGAAATGAGATGAGTATGCGTGTGGCGTGGGCACGGTGGTACTGGATCGTTATATTCACGACGTGCGCTGCCAGGACTGCGAGCGATTGGCTAGATTGCGCTCACATATCCACTTGCCGCTGCAAATGGTCCTCGGGGAAAAAGACAGCCACCTGCGCCTCCAGTGACCTCCGGCGCCCGCCTTCACTTTCTTCCGACATCCAAGTGCTCGATCTACACGACAATCCATTAAGGAACCTACCTCAAGAAGTATTCGCTAACATTGGCTTACTGAATCTTCAAAGAGTAAATTTGAGAGCAACCCACTTGAGATCTATACATCCCGACGCATTTCTAGAATTAAGAATACTAATTGAAGTAGATTTAGCTGACAACGACCTATCTAATCTGCCGAGAGACATTTTTAGAGGCAACGAAAGACTGCGTTTAGTGGTATTGAGCAACAATCCATTGACGAATCTAGTTGCAGACCAATTCCCACCGCTACCGCATTTACGAATGCTTCTGCTTGACGGATGCAGACTACGTTCTTTACACACAAATTCTTTGCGTAACTTAAAATCACTAGAGACTATTGATTTGCGCAGGAATCAGCTAACATTCCTACGTCTAGTAACCTTTTCACTTCCGGCATTAAAAACTGTTTCGCTGTCGGGCAACCCGTGGCGATGTGACTGCAGACTACGTGAGTTTAAGGACTGGTTTTTAGATAGTAAATTAGGTACTGAGGACTTAGTGTGCGTTGAACCTTCAACAAAAGCGGGAAACAAGTGGCGAAACGTTTCTAGTGAGAGTATGGCGTGCGCGCCTGAAGTAAGATCAAGCACATTGGTTGTGAGGGCAGAAATTGGAGTAGCATCATCGTTTGGATGTTGGGTTCACGGAGTTCCAAAACCTCAAGTGATATGGCTACTAGATGGTGTAAATATCCACAACAGTACCATTGACTGTGACATGGAAGAAAACGAAACTCTAATAGATGACGAGTCCGAGGAGAGGGTACCTGGTAGCGTCCGCTGGGTGAATATAACTCTAATGAATGTAACATCGAGTGCTGCTGGAGAATGGACGTGTGTTGCCAGAAGTTCGGCTGGCGAAGCAAGAGCTGTTATAAGTTTAGTATTACCTCGATCCCAAACAGCTACTGCTCGTACTGCTCCTGGTATACCGCAGCTTTTAGGAGTTGTATTTGGTGCATTAGGCATCTTAGCGTCCCTTGGCTTTATAGCAGCCGTGGCATGCTGGCATTTGCGTAGACGATCAGTGCCCCCTAGTAGAAGCTTTACAGACCAGGAGAAACGTTTGATTGATGCGTCAGTGGTCGTTAGTTGTGATCGATCGATTGGAGATTTGGCATCCCCTTGTGATTTTGAATTGACTGAGCAATCAATATCTGAAGAAAATCAGCCGAGGGGGTGCGGATTTGAACCTGTTCATATAACAATAGAAGGAACGCCAGGAGCTTTTCCACCACCCCCAGCAGAGTTTGCTGTTCCAGTACCATATGGCAATATTTTTATATCTGTCCAAGTTTCTGGAAGAGGAGAACCAGGAAAATATCCTGATTTGTTGAGTGGTGGAGCAACTTTACCGAGACGAAGCAAGACTTGCTGTGGCACTCCGGCATATGATAATATGGGGCCTAGAGTGACAGCTACTGGAAGTTCAACGTGGTCTTTACCAGGAGCTAGCTCAGAAAATCTTCAAGTATCAGAGACTCCCGTTTTAACCCTGCCACCACCACCGCCGGAATTTGTTTCCCTTTAGCCAAGGCCTCTGGTACTAGACGCCTCGGCATTGAGGTGACCTGGTACCACCCAACTTTAAGTCAATTAGACAATTCCCCAATTTTAATCGATTTATTATAATATCTACGTGATTCATATAAATGTAAATACTAAAGTGCTAAGTTTGAACGATGTGTGACATCTTGTGAGATATAAGTAAGGTGGTTATCAATAAAAAAATTAAAATTGCATATAAGGAAATTGTTATTGTGTTGGGACACTGAGTGCTCTGAAGGGAGTATGATGTTTTGTTTCATTTGTGGAGAAAGTGTATATACCTGTCAATTTGAAATATGTCTTTTTTATTAAAGTTAAAATATTATGAACAATTATTTAATGAGTTAATACAAAAACGGCGAAATTATCTAAGTTATTCTATTGATTAAACCATATTAAAAGGCAAATGAATAGCGCGATTTATTCGCTTCTACTTATTGTTTTAGATGTTTCGGAATTTTCAGTGAGTTGTTATCAATGTTCAACTTTAAGTAGATGTAGTATTGGTAATAAAACATTCACAATTTTCCAATATCTCCAGAAATGAAACAACAATGATTTTGTCAAATTTATTTCGTAGATGTTATTTTATCTCTTTTGCATAAGTGTCTTCCCAACTTTTGTAAATATGTATTATTTATTCGAATTGTACAATCTTCCCAAACATAAGACTGACCCTTTTTGTCTTTTTTGTCTCTCTTTGTAACTTGACAAGTATGTATAGAGCTGTACACTCCACTTAAGTATTCAACAGCATAGCTTCTAAATATTTCTTTCAAAGTAAATTATCTAATGTAAAGAAAATAAACTGATCAGGATATTTTTTGCTGTTTTATTGTAATACTTCTTTGAGTAACAAGAATTTTTTTCACTCAGCGAATCGAAAATCGAATAATCTTTTAAAAGACTCCAGATGAATAGCAGATTATTCAGTTACAGTGTATAAGGTTAGCTAATACTGCACAGGCTAGGGAAATGAGTTGCAAGCTGAAAAAGTAAGAGTTGCAAGTATGGCATGTTTTTATATCGCATCAGCTACTTCATTAGGTAATTGGAGAACAAGGTGAGGTTCACTTCGCGTTGGTCATATAGTTTCTAGACAGTACTTTAAAATGTAGGTATTTTATTATTGGGGATATAATGCTAAGTTATTTAAGCAGAGCGTTGCCTAAAAATTTTGTTTGTTTCCTCAATTGCTCAAATTTCACGAGTTCTTAAAGTAAAAACTGAATTTTCATTAGTGCATGGCAGATCAACTAACACAAATATTTCTTTTAATGTTTAATAGAATTAAGCTCAATAGATATCACAGTGAATGACATATTAATTTATATCGTTCCGCATATTAAACCGCCTTCTCAGTTTTCAATTTAATATTTATATACTAATATCCTGACGAAAATCATGAGAATATTGTTTTTGATAATTTTGTTACTATAGAGAAATTTTTAGTAGTTCTATAGAAAATGTACGATTCATAATCGCTCGCTGAACCAATATGAAAGATGACAAAGGCAATTTTTTTATGAAAATAAAACTGAAAGGGCTGATAGAAAATAGGGGATAAACATCAAAATATTCTCCGCTAGTTCCTTACATTTACCTATACTCTTCTCAACATCATAATGAATAATGAGCACTGGTTCGAAGCCACGAACAATACAGCTATCCCTAAGGGAATACCTTGGTGTTGAACGGACACGTTTCCCGGCTACACAACCTTGACCTGAATTAGGATCCCGCATTTGGTATACTACTCCTGTGGGAGGCGTCGAGACTTGGACTACATTTGGCCGTATAATAGACACCTCCGTGGGACAAGCTTATACTCATTCCGCTGTTTTATGGTCATCACGTAACGTATCGTTCAACTAGAGTGAGTATAAACATATTTCATTACTTATCCGATATTTTTCTACAAAGCAAAATTTGATGCTGAGTTAAGGTTGTGATTCAAGGGCGCTCCCGAGATAGAAGGCGACATACACATTGACAACAAAGTGATCCTATAAGGGTTCAGTTTTTTTCTTTTGAGGTACCCTAAAAATTTGTCAAAATAGCTAACTAAAATCTAAAGAGACAGAAATTATGCATAATATGTTTTGGCTCGGAGACAGGAAGAATATGGTAAGTATCAAAGTTTCGAGGTGTCGCCTCCTCGTGAGGTCCCAGGTTCAAATCCGGGTTGCAAATGATAGTATTATTATGCATACGAGCATTTTAAGTTATGGATATTAAAGAAATGCTTCTATATACAGGCTGTCCCAAAAATAGTGTCAAGCGGTAGTCCTGAGATAGAACATCCCTTGGAAAATCCGAAACACCCCCATGTATGTTCCGCGATTTTTTATAGTTTGCGATTTATGATTTTTTTACTAAAATTTTGAGAATTGACATAAACAAACTTAAAAATAAAAAAAAATGGATGATTTTTTCGAGATATTTTTTTGCAACTCAATTTACATGAATTGTACTTTAATGACTAATACCTTTGTCTTCGTAACTATGATGAAAATTTTAAAAAAGATGTTGCACCATCTTTTTTAAAATTTGTCAAAAGTCTGACTCAGTTTTTAAACTTACTTAAGAGCTATGAAACTATCTATTAAGATTTTAAATTTAAAGTTGAAATTTTAAGACATAATTCACTTCCCATATCTTTTTCACTTTGCACCATCATTTTTTTAACTTCCATCAAAGTTACGAAGACAAAGGTATTAGTCATTAAAGTACAATTCATGTAAATTGAGTTGTAAAAAAAACTCGAAAAAGACATCCAATTTTTTTTATTAAAGGAGATTCCTCAAATTGGCCCAATGTACAACAAATATTGACATAGACGGTGATTTTTGGCGTAATTTATACTTTATTTTACAGTCATTAGATTTTAACGGACACCTTTGTATATTCATTTTAAAAAGGACTTTTAATATTATCGGTTTGGAAAACATACGAATCATTTTTAATGGCTATGGGTGTAGTAACAGTCAGCCAAAGACTGACCGAAGTTGTTTATATAACATCAAAACAAATCTATTTTGTAAGATCGATAAAATAAATCATTTTTTTATTACACTGTGGTATTAATATCCACAACTGTCTTATCATTTTCACTACATGCAAATGTGCTAAGACAATTATTATAGATGGTAGGTGACATCATAAAGTCTATTGCCATATATTTTTCGCCAATCACCTCCTTAAACACATTATAAGGTGTGATATACTAAAAATCTAAAATATGGTTATAATATAAACATAACAAAAATAATGAAGCTACTGAAGATATGGCTGTATAACCTAAATCTCTAAGCTTGCTTTGGTTAACGAGAGTTTAAAAATTCTCTCTAATCTGTGGGTCATTCACAATCATCACGCAGTTTCTGTCACAGAGTACCTTATTATAACCGGAAATGCATAGATGATACCTGATTTTAAAAGTTACTCTTGTGCATTAACTTTCAAAACAGGCAACTATCTGTTAATCTACATGCTCTATATACCTGAATCTTTTACATTATTTCGGTACTTGGATTGATTTCCCTAGTTTACTATATAACTTATTATTTTTTATTATTTTAATACCTATGCGCGTCTGTCACGGGCCTCGGAAGCGGTGCCATACATTTTCATACTCTGACTATTGTCGCGAAGGACTGACGATAGTCGTAGGCCGCGATCAATCGCAATGTATGGAATAGTACCTTTAGCGTTCGGCCATATTTTCGAAACTTATATTTCAGTAAGTCAACACAGAGTAGTGCGGCCGTCGCGGTGGCAAATTCAAAATTTGGAAATGGAAGGGAAAGGATTAAGGAACCTGTTAATGTTTATACAGCCAGTTTTACAATAAAATCTTATCATAGCTGCGAACTTTTCACAGCACTGGACTGCAACACGGTCTTCGTATTTAGGTTCTTTGGGTAGCTCCGTGAGCGATGGACACGACGTTTTCGGTAACTATATTTCTAGACTATTCGTGACAATATTAAGTAGTCTCTGGTATAGCAAGAGAGTTCGGATCAATTCTGGAGTCACTTGAGATAAACTCGGTTTTATCTAGCATGCCAGTAACGATAGTAAAATTTATTCGTACCGACTGTGCAATCATATTTTATACTGTCGTCGCAAATGAAACTTTAAAGATTTTTCCATCTCACATTTTCTTTACTAACAAAATCTTTTCTCTCCTGCGTATTAGAATAAAGTGGTCAAGCTTCAACTTCAAAGTTGCAGTCTAAGTCAATGCAAAGGCCATCCCCCAGAGATAATGCATGTACTCAAAATGAACGCAATACACCGCCGCTGCTTCTCTCTGGAATTGAAATATAAATCGTAGCTTTCCATCTTTGCAAAGTTTTGCCACATGAAAGTTAAGAAGAAATAAGTATGGATACAAAAAATGATAAGTATTCAATTTTAAAAAACGATTTCATAATTATTTTGACGACCGCCTACTCGGTAGTTCTAAGTCCCGCCTGGGCAAATGGGCAGTATGATGAATATGAGCATTTGTACCTAGGTCATGGATGTTTATATTGTTTATAAGGTAGTGTCGCCGAAGATAGCCCGGCTCCTAGCATAGCCTACTTTAAAATAAATACATGATATATATTTATGATTATTCGAATTATTAGAAATGTCGCGGGTTTATACTACTAGTAGTACCATAGACAATAATGCAAGTGTGTTTCATTACCGGGGCGTCGCCATTTTGAAGACAGATTTCAGTTTGCTTGGTCATATCACGACGATACGCGTTTTACAACCACTATTATCTAAATCCTTTTGAAACTAACAAAGGACATGGTAAAATTCTGTATGAGCGACTGCCCTAGCAATGTGTAAATATTGTACTTAGTAATGTTTAATGCTGAATGTTTATAATATCTATGAAAAAAGGCTGAGGAACTTTTGATAAAGTCGCAATCTTGAAAAGTATGAGAACACCTACTATGTTATTACCTTGCTTCATTTGATAAACGATGTTGCCAATTATTTATAGAGCCATTCATTGCGCATTTTCTTAGGATCCTTCCTCCCATTTTTCTGATTTACACTTCACAAAAAATGATTTTAATGCAAAAATAAATACAAATGATTTGCTGTTATCGGCCTGACAGGATATCTGTGAAGCTTTATTTTGTTCATTTGTAAAAATCAAAGGATTAATTATCATACAGCTTTGTTTCAAGCATGATCAGAATAATAAAATCTTCCATTTCACACTTTCAGTGATTTGTTATAATAAAAATCAGGGCCAAATATGTTCTTTGTTTTAAGAAGTTTGGAATTAATATTGTTTATTTCGATATATTTACACAAATATTTTTTTTGTACATTTATTGTTCATTTATTTTTGTAAAACGGAACATTTTCCTTTTGAAACAGACATGAAGTCAATTTTCATACTTTTATATATTTGATTATTTCTCGAAAGTTGTATCAGAAAAGTAGATGACACGTGATAATTAATAAAAGAATATTATAATGTTACGCGCTAATGCAAAATAATTATACACGTTAAGGGCAGTTTCTTAGCCATCCTTTAAAGCCAAACTCTTTGCTTTAAACTGTGAAATATTTATATTTAAACCATCTATCAGCAAATTACGAGTAAGTGTTTTTATTTTATTCATTTTTTTTGTATTTTTACGAGATTATACTTAACCCGGATGTGATTTCCTAACGTGGCCCATAATATAATTCCCAAACTTAGCCCGGGCCTTTCTAGGATTATTGAAATGTAGTATTAGTATATTTTTATATTCTTTTTTTTACGTATGTCTGCGCATCTTTTAAGATTTTTTCAAATATTTTTGTTAGGACTACACACAAAATTAAAGACAGTATCGTCTCATTTGTTTTAACTATTTAAGTATATTTTGATTGATCTTAAAGTTAGTAGGTAGACATTAAAAAAT